AAGGAGGTAAGGGTTTGGAAGAGGCACAGGCGAGAAAAGAGTGCTTAGGAAGTTTGGGGAGAGCCTATGCAAAGGCTCTGAGAGGAGAGATGGGATGATTTGTGTGGGAGAACGGCAGAAAGGGAGGTTGTCTAGGGCCAGCCCTCTCTCCAACGAGAAAACTCAGTCCCAGAGAGATTAAGTGGCCTGCCCAATCACCTGGCATATAGTTGCTTAATAAATGTTTATTGGCAGACTGACTAGTGAGTGGAAGAGCCCAGATTTGAATTGACTCCGAATCTAGGTGGAGTGTTTTGCCTGTATCCTCACTCATCTCCCCACTGTGGGTGCTGAGGTCCCCTCTATCTCTTATTGCAGTGGCCCCAGAGAACCCCATCGTGGAAGGTCGGGAGCAGGCTGTGGAGGGCAGCGAAGTAGAGCTGAGCTGTGTTGTGCCTCGATCCCGACCTCCAGCCATGCTTCGATGGTACCGGGACAGAAAAGAACTTCGAGGTCAGAGGAAGCTGAAGGAGGGCCTGGGTGTGAGGGAGGAAAAGGGCAGAGGGAAGGGAGCTGGGAAAGGGAGAGGTACAGCCAGGACATGGTCTGGAGAAAAGGGGCAATCCTTAAGGGCTGGGCCATAGGGGAATCTGAGGGGGTGGATTGGGAACTTTGACCCCAAGGGAACTGGCCTCCCTGGGCAGGTGTGGACAGCCGGCAGGAGAACGGGAAGGTGTGGAGTGTGGCCAGCACAGTGCGCTTCCAAGTGGACCGGAAAGATGATGGCGGCATTGTGACATGTGAGGCTCAGAATGCAGCCCTCCCTCCAGGCCACAGCAAGCAGACTCAGTACGTGCTGGATGTCCAGTGTAAGTGACCAGGCTCTGGGAAGGAGGGCACAATACTCAAAACACAACAGACCAAAGGGTGTCCTGGCCTGAAGAGACTTTGGACACTATTCACTTTTACTCCCACTTTTGATAGATAGGGAAACTGAGGCTCAGAGAGGAAATCTCAGACATCACTGAACCCACTTCTGGAGATTTTACAGATGAGGAAACCAAGGCCCAGAGAACCTAAAGTCACACAACCAGCTCTCCCCTGGACATAAACTAGTTCAACCTCATCCTCAGGTGCCACACAATCTCAGTTCTCAGCTTCACAAAGTGTGATACGAGATCAGAGACTAGAAATGACAAAAGGCATAGCACCTCAAGAGAGTTCCAGAATCCAGTTTGGTCCTATTTAGGAGGGAAGCCTGAATTAGAAATACCTTGGTCTTTCATGTGCCTGGCCTCCCAAATCCAGCTCCTGAAGGCTCCCCAAGCCCTAGAACATTAGAGCTGTGCTGCCTTTGGGCTGTATTTGGAAGCAGAGGACTTGAGTTTGAATTCCCTTTTGACTTTGGGCAAATCACTGTATTTCCATAAACCTCAGTGTCTTCATCTACAAAAAGAGGAAGTTGGACTAGGAAACCTCTGAGGGTCCTATAATACAAAAAGAATCACTAGCATTTTACATGTTATCTCATTTAATCTTCACAACAACCTTCTAAAGGTAGGTGCTAATATCCTCACTTTACAGATGAGAAAACTGAGGCTGAGTTACTCAGACATCTAAGGCAGAATTTGAACTCACAAAGACCCCTAGTCCAGTGCGCTCCCTTTCCTCCCCCAACTATGCCACATAGCTGCCTACCATCATGGAAGGCCCTTTTCTTTAATTGAAGGAGACCAGACAAGGTTAAGTGACTTGCCCAAAGCCAAGAAACAGCAAAGTTCAAGGCTTAGAAGCCACATCTCCTGATCCCCAGGCCATTCTTCTGCCCTCTAGCACCTGGAAAAGGGGGAGAGCAGGGTTCTGCCATCCTGGGCAGGGCTGGAGTGGGGTGCAGGTCTGGGGTGGAGGAGAGAAAGCTCTCCATCTCAACCCGGTATTTGCTGGGCCTCCCCTGCTTTGACCCTCCTGGTTCCCTTCTGCTCACAGACTCCCCCACTGCCCGGATCCACGCCTCCCAGGCTGTGGTGAGAGAGGGAGACACATTGGTGTTGACTTGTGCTGTCACAGGGAACCCCAGGTCAGAGAATGGGGTGGATGGGATACTCTTAAGTGAGTTGAGGCTGGGTGGGGGCAGGGTCTGAGGGAGGATTGGGTGCCTGGGTCCTACATGGTTTCGAGTTAGGGAACTAGGATGCCTGGGTCCCCAAATGATGGGGAGGAGGAAAGTCTGTGGGATTGGGACGCCTAGGTCCCCTAATGGGGAAGTGGACTTGGGGATCGTAATGCCTGGGTCCTCGAATGTAGGGAGGGGGTGGTCTGGGAAACTGAGATGGTCTGGGAACTGGGGGTTTGGAATGCCTGGTTCCTCGAGTGGGTAAGGGGAGTTTGGCAGATCGGGACGCCTGGAGGGCTGGCCAGCTGTCTGGGCCCTTGAGCTTTTTGGCCCCTCCTCGCAGGCCTGGGCAGATCCGGTGGAGCCGGGGGGAACGAGTCGCTCCCCGAGCGGGCAGAGGCGGTGGCGGAGACGCTCACCCTCCCCGGCCTCACCTCCCTAGACAACGGCACCTATACTTGTGAGGCCGGGAACAAGCACGGCCAAGCACGAGCCCTCTACGTCCTGGTGGTCTACGGTGAGACACGAAGGGGACACCGGTTCCTGGAGCCCGGCAGAGGGGTCCCGGAACACGAGTGGGGCGGGACGGGACGCTCCACGGGCACAAGGAGAGGGCCGGGAGTCTGAGCGAAGGTCCGCGAGTGCAATGCTGGGGTCCCCCGTCCCCGCGTTCGTCCCGGTAATCGTGCCTTCCTTTGCCGAGCAGACCCCGGCGCGGTGGTGGAGGCACAGACCTCGGTGCCCTATGCTATCGTGGGTGGCATCCTGGCGCTGCTCGTCTTCCTCATCATCTGTGTCCTGGTGGGCATGGTCTGGTGCTCCGTGCGGCAGAAGGGTGAGCGGAGGCGGAGCCGGGATGCCTGGAGGGGTGGGGCTGGGGGGGGTCACTGATTGGCGAAAATCCGACAAGGCGGGGCTTGCGTATAACAGTAGAAGGCTGATGAGGTGAGGGCTGGGGCCGCGTCTATGGTCCTGTTCCAGTTGGCTCTGTGCTCCTAGCCCTCTTTCCCTGATCGAATTAGTGTCTCTGCCTTTGGTCACCCCCTCTGTTTCCTAAACCTACCTCTGGCCCTGTGCTGTCGTCTCTCTATGCCCGTCTCTGATCCTTTGTGTTTCTGTATCTCAGTGCCCCGTCTCTCCTGAGGTTCTCATTCTCCATTTCTCTCTTTGCTTCCATTCCCCCCACCTTCCACAGGCTCCTATCTCACCCACGAGGCCAGTGGACTGGATGAGCAGGGGGAAGCCCGAGAGGCCTTTCTTAATGGGGGCGACGGACATAAGCGCAAAGAGGAATTTTTCATCTGACCCTTCCCCGTGTCCCCAGCCCCGGCCCTGGCCCTGGCTCAGGCAGGGTCTCACCAGTCCAGGACGGAACCAGCAAAGACTTTGACCTGGGCCAAGGGCCATTCGGGAGTTTTCCCCACCCCTAGCGTCCAGCAAGACTTGGAGGCTGCACCTGGGCCCTAGTGAGGGAAGTTAGTGCTTGGGGCCAGATGTTGATATGCTTAAGGGGGTGGGAATGGGGAATCAGAACACCTGGGTCCCCAAAAGGGGCAGGGAGTGGGGGATCAGGGTGTCTTGAGTTCCCCAGAAGGGGAGGATAAGAATACTTGAGTCCTCGAGAAGGAAGAGGAGACCTGGGTCTCTGATGGGCCAGGGGCTGGACACTTGGGTCCAGGGTGGGGGTAGGGGGTGGGAGTAGGGGTAGAGACTGGGGGAGGGGGGTGGCAGGGTTGGGGAGCAGCCTGGGGTGGGGGTAGGGGACTTGTCTTCTCCGGGATCCCTCCCTAGGCGCTGTGCCAGCCATTGTGAGAGTCCCACAGACATGGGGACTGCTCTTTGCAAAGCCATGTTCGCACGGTTGGGGGGGAGGGATGGGGATTCTGTGTTTTTGTCATAACTCGTGATGGGAGAGGAGGACCTTTCCCCCTCTCCAGGCCCCACTCCTGCCCACAGCTTGGGCTCCCCCCACCCACCACATGCCTCCCCTGGATCCCCTCTCCCCCAACTCCCAGGACTCCCGCGGGGCTCTCCCCCCACCACCCCATCCCTTCTCTCCTTCTCCAGGCCTCCAGGGGGAGGGGCCCAGGGTCCACGTGTGCGTCTCTGTGGTTTTATATATAATATATTAAAAAATGGAAAATCTGTTATTAAAAAAAAATCAGATTTCACCCCCCCACCACCACCATGATCCACCCCCATTCCAGGCCTTTTTCTTGTAAAAACACGTTTTGTACGGGGGGGAGGGGGGTACGGAGGGGGTGGCAGCCCCACTAACCACCATTAAACTAAGGAGAGATTAAGATACTGCTCAGTTGTCTGTCTGGGGGGAGTGGGGTGGGAAGGCGAGCAGCTGGATTCGGAGCGGGGGAAGATGCCTCCCAGGGAAGAGCGGAAGGAGGAATGTGGGGAAAGCCAGGAGAGAGAAACTGGAGAAAGTGTGAAAGAAAGCCCGGGGAGAGAGTGTGAGCTAGGCCTAGGGGGCTGCGCCGAGGAGTGGGAGAGCTGCGAAGCCCCCCCAGTGTGTCAGATGGAGGGGGTTGGGAAGGGGGTTTAGCATGCAGAACGTTCTCTAAGGGAAGGGCTAGATTCGCGGGGCTGCAGAATGTCCCCGGGGGCAGGGCACACCGGTGAGCCTGGAATTAGGTGACCCGAGGGAAGAGCTGGGGAGAATCCCCGGGGCAGGGCCTGAGGCCAGGCAGGGAGAGCGTAGCTTCCCGGCAGAGACGGGGCAGCGATGGGAGGTGCTGGAAGGGTCAGGAGGAGGGACCACCCCCTAACTCGAGGCGGAGTTCTAGGCACTGCCCGCCCCCCTCCCTAATTCAGCCCAAATCGTCCTGCGCATGCTCTCTGGCCGGGCCACAGACCTCCCCCCACCCCGGGCTCTGCAGATCCGAAATGCAAATCGCTGCGCCCCAGCATGGCCCAGCCCGGGGATATGCAAAGCGGACCTCCCCACGGGCCTGGCACGTGCGTGTGCTGAGCCTCTCTCCCAGTACGCCCCGGGCGAGCGCGCTGCAGCCACCGAGGCCCCGCCCCTCCCCACTCAGGACCGAGAGTTGGAAGGGCGCTTAGAGATATCCTAGTCCAACCACGTCATTTTACACTGGGGAGGCGGGAGAGCACGGGGTCACACAGCATGAGAGCGAGGATTCGAACCCCAGGCTCCCCAGCCCCTGGCCCTGCCCCGCCCTAGGAAAAATACGCACCACCCCCGACCCTCCGCCGGGGATGGGAGAAAGCCCCCTCCCCTAGCAACGGACCCGAGGCCCCGCCCCGGTCCTACCAAGCCCAGGAAGAGCGGGGTAGACGGGACCCTCCGGGGGTCTCTGATGAACCGCTCCTACCACCGCTCCCCCCCTGCGCCACTGCCGGGATGGTCCGGCCCACTGCGCAGGCGCCCTGGGTCCCGCCCGCCAACCGCTCCCCGTTGCCCCCCGCCCGCCGCCACAGCCGTCGCCGTCGACGCTCGTTCTACGCAGGCGCCGGGCCCCTGCGTGCTGCCGCCGCCGACCGGAGCGAGCGGAGCGAGGTCGCCAGCGGTGGTGAGTGCCCGGGGGAGGGGAGGGGCGGGGCGCGCGCGCGGGGCATGTCGGGAGTCCGCGGGGCCGCTTCCGCGCGCCCTCCCCGCCGGCCCCGCCCCTCTCGCCGGCATGGGAGCATGGCGGCGCCCCGGGTTCATTGTCCCGGAGCACACTGGGGCACGGTCGTGGAGAGGGGCCGCCCTGGGGCATCCTGGGAGCTGGGGGCAGGCGGCCCCGCTGCATTGTGGGAAACGGGCTCTAGTGCCCCGGTGCGTTCTGGGAGCTGAACCTTAGTGTCCAGGTGCATCCTGGGAGCTGGGCCACAGTGACCCCGTGAATAAAATGCCCCCGTTTGTTTTGGGAGCTCGACCGAGCCGACCCTGGCGGCTCGGTGTCTCCCATGAGTGGGACCAGACTCGCCCTGTGCATTGTGGGAGTGAGGACAAGGTGCCCTGGTGCATTGTGGGGCCTGTCTTGTCGGGCCAGGGTGCCCTGGGCATCCCACGAGGGAGCACTGCCACCTTGCTCACTTCATGGCCGCCCCAGTGCATTCAGGGAGCAGTGCATCCAGTAAACATTTATTAAGCATCTACTGTATGCTAAACGCTGAGGGGACAAAATGATGCAGAAGAGTCCTTGCCCTCAAGGAGCTTCCAATCTAATGCAAACACATACAGTACAAAGCAGGTTGCATACAGGCCATGTGGCCCTGGAGCACCATGGGCTTTCCATTGACATTACAGGGTCTTGCTGCCCTAATGCATCCTCGGTCATCCCTCCCCCCAGAAAGCTTTACTGACCCCCCCCAGTTCATAGGCACAGGAGTGTCTCCTCTGGACTTCTCCCCCTTGGAGGCACCTCGGTCCCTGGGCCTTAGTTTCTTCTCTTTAAAATGGTACCAACATAATTGCTCCCCAGAGAGGCCAGCTCAGGCATTGCTCGAGAGGTGGCCTAGCTCTGTTCCTGAATCCCATCTCTCCCTGCTGTCCCTGCTCAGTGTTGGTGTGAAGGCCAGGACTGCTGGAGAGAAGAGGCCCTGCTGTGGAGAGCTGGCTGGGGGGGGGGGAACCCCATCTTGCTGTTGCTGTCACCACTGGACATCCCCCCTCCTCACACCCTCCCCCGGCCATGACGGAGACTCGGGAGAACACTGAGACTGGGGGCTATGCCAGCTTGGAGGAGGATGAGGAGGAGCTGTCCCCAGGTGAGGTGCTGAAACCTGAGCTCTCCAGGGAAAACCTCTTTGCCAACACACACACACACACAGCCACACACACAGCCACACAGCGCATTCAGAAAAGGCAAACGAGGGAGAAACCTTACTCCCTGTACTTCCATTAGCTCTCTAGGCCTCATTTATGACCTCTTGAACTTCCCCCTTCTTGGCAGGCCCAGAGCACCCCTCTGATTCGGACTATACACTCTCAGAGCCTGACTCAGACGAGGATGAAGAAGAGGAGGAGGAGGAGGAGGAAACAACAGATGACCCAGAATATGATCCTGGCTACAAGGTGAAGCAGCGTCTTGGTGGGGGGCGAGGGGCGCCTTCTCGGAGGGCCCCTCGGGCTGCCCCACCCCCAGGGCCCCCACCCCAGCCCTGCGCCCTATGTGGCCGCCCACCTCTGGGGGAGGGTGCCGCAGCCCCTGGGGGCCCACCCTGTCGGCTGTGTCGCCCAGCTGCCCCCCAGGCAACACCCCCTGCCCGCACTGCTACTCAGCGCCAGGTGGGTGAGGAGGAGGATGAAGAAGAGGATGAGGACGAAGGGGCCACCTCCACCGGAGGTGATGGGCCCCCTGGGGATGACGGGGGTGCTTACCACTGCACAGAGTGTGAGGATTCATTTGATGACCTTGGGGAGCTGCATGGCCACTTCATGCTGCATGCCCGAGGGGAGGTGTGAGGCTGACCTTTCCTTAGAGGCTGGGTATAGGGCTGAGAAAAGGGATCACTGGGGGATGCAGAGCCGCTCATCAAATGTTTGTCTTCTGGACAGTAGCTGTGTTAGGGTTCAAATAAAGCCAGATTTCTGTGTGTGATGGTGTCTGTGAAAGTGTGACCCTTAGCTTTTGGCCTCCCATGTCCCCTCACAGAGAGTCCAGGAATCTTGGGGCCATAGACCAAATCTTAGGTCCACAGACATATAGCACTTTAGAATCGTGTCCTTCTCATCTGGCAGTCATGGACTCTTAGGCCTTTCAATTTTTTTTTTCATTAATTTATTTTGACTTATCAACAATCACTTCCATATAAGTTTTTCTCCCCTTCCATCCCCACTACCCTCCCCAAGACGGTGCACAATCTGATATAGGCTATACATATACATTCCTATTAAACATTTTCACATTAGTGATGTTGTAAGTAAGAATTAGAACCAATAGGAGGAACCACCAGAAAGAGGAAACAAAACTCAACAGAAGAAAAAAAAATAGCAAATAGTGTGCTTCGATGTGCATTCAAACTCCATAGTTCTTTCTTTGGATGTGGATAGCATTTTCCATCATGAGGCTTTTGGAAATGTCTTAGATCCTTGCATTGCTGAGAAGGGCTAAGTCTATCAAAATTAGTCGTTGAACAACACCATATACAACATTCTTCTGGTTCTGCTCTTTCAATTTCTTACAATGGTAACATCTGGAACTGAAAGACACAGTAGAGGTCATCTAGTCTTACCCTTCCCCCCCATTTTACATATGAGAAACCTGAGGTCCAGATAGAACAAAGGTCACAGAGGTAGCAGGCTTCGGGCTTGAACCCACATCCTCAGACTCAGAAGCCATGGGTCTTAGATTTTTAGACTCAGTATCATGACTCAGAAAGCATTTATTAAACAAATGCTATGTGGACGTTATTCCAGGGAATTTGGGTGGTTTACTAATTGTGATGGGCAGCTAGTGGTATACAGAGAAAATTTTGGACTTGGAGTCAGGCAGACTCATCTTCCCAAGTTCAAATACAATATAATGGGGGGGAGGTAAGGGGGGACCCCCTCTGAGTGGAGAAAAGGGGGAATGTGAGAGAACTCTGGAGATAGTAGAACTGATTGGACTTGGTGACTGATGGAATGCATGGGGTGGGGGATAAATCAAGGATGATTGAATACATGAGCTCATGTGGTTGAAAGGATAGTGACAAGATGGATGTCAGGGTGTGTTAAGTGTCCAGAAGCAGGGAGGACTTGGGGTAACAGATAACAGGTTCTGTTGCAGACAGTCGAGTTTGTGATGTCTGTGGCACATCTATTTTGAAATGTGCAGAGACGTGGGGCGAGAGCCAGAAATGGAGACCTGGGAGTCATTTTGTTGAAGGCAGATGTTAATACTAATACAGCACCCTAGGAATTAGTCTCAAGTTCTGTTTAACATGAACACCAAAGGCATTTCTAACTGGAGAGATGTCCAGACTGGAATCAGTCATCTCCCATGACCTCTGACATGACTGCCCCCAACCAATTTCAGATCACATTTATGGGAGTCTTGAGCAAAGAAAAGATAGCCTAGGTTAATAGTCCAGAATCAAGCAGCCATATCTTTAACCCCTTCCTTACTTGGGACCTCTCTTCTAGAATCTAGAGAAATCACTGGGGTTCTTCCCATAGACCTATATCCAGAATACAAGTTGAAGAGGAGGATGTGAATTCCTCTGTTTGAATAGTAAAGACTGCTTCCCTCAGGATGTACTAAAGTCTGATCCCTTGAGGGGATGAAAGGATTGACCTTACATGAATCTAGTGGCACCTTGGGGTGGGCTGAGGAAAGGCTCTGTATGGGAGATACTCTATTAGGTTCCTTCTTATCCCCCATAACTCTGTCACTAGAGGAAGGCTCTTTCCTTCTGTCCTGATCTCCCATACCCGCCTTTCGAAGGGTCTTTCGCCAGCAGTCTGAAAAGGGCTTTAGCGAGAAATAGCATTTCTTAATAATTCTAGAGAGAGTTAAAAATTTTTACATATGCTTTCATCACAGGGTCATCATGAGAGAGTCTAGAATTAGCATAATCAGCCAGTCAGTCAATTATCATTTATTAGACATAGAAAATAATCAGGAATTCTGTAAACCCGTGGTTCCTGTCAGGTCATCTAATACATACATCTGATCTATGTATGGGGTATTCAGAATATTAGCATCTCTGGTGTGAGGGCATGCCAAGCCCTTTTTAGGGCTGATCCCCCACTTGGGTGTCCACTTGTCACCCACTTCGGTAAACCATCTAGCAGATAGGCTAAATTAGGTGGAGGGGACCTGACAGGCCTCAAACCCATTGGGGACTGAGGCAGATGTCTACCCCAAGCATGTTAATGGGTGGATGAGAACAATTTGTTCCAAGGGTCATGAAGGAGCACTTGGAGCTTGGTCAAACATTGAAGATGCCACGGCCATGCATCCTGGGTCATTGCCAGTGGTCCTGACTTTTGTCATGCCGCTGGACTTTGACGACTGTGGAAGAGGGAATGAGGCTGAGGACTTGGTGCAGCCCAGTTCATGCACAATCAAGACTTCATCTCAGGACGTCATTGGTCCTCGTGGAAGTTGAAGGACAGACAGCAGCAGTTCCATGCCTCCTGTATGCCAAGCACCGGCCTAAGGGCTAGGAATGCAGTATGAAAAAGGAAAGATCATGCCTGTCCTCAAGAAGCTTACAACGGGGCAACTTCATCATTGGCCCCCCTTTTACAGCACTGTGTAGAAGACGGTGCCCCCGCTTTCTCCTCTCCCTTAGCCCCTTAGGATCTGGCTTCTGACCTTATTGTTCTACCAACACTGCTCTCCAAAGACATCAGTGATTTCTTACTTGCCAAATCCAATGGCCTTTTCCCAACCCTCATTCTCCTTGACCTCTCTGCCACCTTGGACGGAGCACTCTCTCCCCCTTGAGACTTTCTTCTCTTTAGGTTTTTGGAGCACCCCTTTTTCCTAGTTTTGCTTCTATCCCTCTGACCTCTCCTTCTCCGTACCCCTTGCAGGATCTTCCTCCAGATCACACGCTCTAGCCCTGGGTATCCCTCAGGGCTCTGTCCTGAACCCTCTTCTCCCTCCAGACTACAGTTAGCCTTTCAATTTTCCCCATGTTGGTTTCGATATATTGTGCATCAGCCTAAAATTAAATGGGAATTTTTTGGGAGTTTTGCAGAAGCCATAGGCTACAAACAAAGGCCAGCAGATGACACAGAAAAAGTTTAGAAACTCAGAAATGCATAAAATACAAGTATAGTGTTGTATAATACCAACATATTTTATGAAGATTTTCCATATTGAGGGGGAGGGGTGCCATGCCCTAATCCCAGCCATGTGGAAAGGATAACTGTACTTCCTGTGGTGATCTCATCAGCTCGCAGGGACTTAATTACCATCTCTATGGTGATGATTCTCAAATCTACCCTTCCTGCCCCAAACTCTCTACCGGGCTCCAATCTTTCATCACCAGCCGACTGTCAGGCATCTGGACTGGATGTCTAGGAGACAGCTGAAACCAAACACATCCAAAACAGAACTCGAGATCTTCCATCCTAAGGCCTTTTCCTGCCCACCTCCCCGGTTACTGCAGAGAACAACCCTCCTCCGATCCCCAGGGCTCACAACCTGGGCATCACCCTGGATTCTTCACTTTCTCTTTCTCTCTCTCTCTCTCTCTCTCTCTCTCTCTGTCTCTGTCTCTCTCTCTCTCTCTCTCTCTCTCTCTCTCTCTCCTCTCTCTCTCTCTCTTCTCTCTCTCTCTCTCTCTCTCTCTCTCTCTCTCTCTCTCTCTCTCTCTCTCTCTTCTCTCTCTCACACACACACACACACACACACACACACACACACACACCCATAGCCAAGGTGTTGCCAAAGCCTATTGATGTCAAGAGCTGCTGGGTGGTCCAGTGGATAGAGCACTGGACCTGAAGTTAGGCTGACTTCTCTTCCTGAGTTCAAATCTGGCTTCAGATGTTTGCTAGCTTTGTGTCCCCGGGCAAGTCACTTAACCTGTTTTGCCTCAGTTTCCTCATCTGTAAAATGAGCTGGAGAAGGAAATGGCAAGCCTCCAGGACAAAGAATCAGACGTGACTGAACAGCAGTTGATGTCGCCTTTGTAACCTCTCTCAAACACCCCCTATTCTTGTCTGATGCTGCCCTCATCACCTCACACCTGGACTATTGCAGCAGTCACTGGTGGGTCTCAAGTGTCCAGTCCACTAAAATGCTTTTCCTAAAATGCAGTTCTGGTCATGTTACACACATGTGCTCAATGCCTATTGCCTCCAGGAGCAAATGCAAGATGTTTGGTGTGACATTGAAAACCCTTCATTACCTGCCCCCTCCTCCCTTTCCAGTATTCTTACACCTTACTCGTCCACTTGGACTCTTGGATCCAGTGACACGGGTCTCCAGTCTGCTCATGAATAAGACCCTCCATCTCTTGGCTCTGGAGGTTCTCCCTTCTCTGCTCCACCTGCTGACCTCCCTGGCTTCCTTTAATTCCCAGCTAAAGTCCCACCTTCTACAGGAAGCCCTCCCCCAACCTCTCTTAATTCTAGTGCCTTCCCTCTGCTAATTGTTCCCACTTTATCCTGTACATAGTTTATGTACAATTGTTTTGCATGCTGCCTCCCCCATTAGATTGTAGACTCCTTGAGGGCAGGGACTGTCTTTTGCCTCCCTTTGTATCCCCTAGCACTTACCGCAGTGCTTGGCACATAGCAGACCTCTAAGGCAGGTGGTGCGTGCATGCATTTTTACAGCAGCAGAGACTCGGGGCCAGTCCCTTTATCGGGGTAACTCAGCTCGGAAGGGGCAGTGCCAGGTCTCAGTCTGGAGTTTTCCAGACCTTTCCTGCTAGAGCACACCTGCATGTATGCAGGTTCTTTCTCAGAACACCTCGGCTCTAGAAGTGATCTGAGACTGGATTTCAGGCTGGCCACTGGAGTGGCTGCCTGGTGATGCTGGCTTCCAGGAAGGGGCATCGGCTGAAATGGCCAGCCTTGTAGCCTCCACCCACTGCAGCCAGTTCTGTCCTCAGGGGCCAAACCAAATACATCCGTAATCCCTCTTCCCCAGGACTG